TGAAAAAGGAAGAAAAAAAATCCCAGCAATGCCTCCGTGTGTGTCTCAGAGCTGGTTTCCACAGAAGTGCAGTTTGGAACCGTGTCTCTCTCTCTCCCTGCAGATCGGAGGCACAGAGGAATACAAGATCTGCAAGGGCATTAAAGAAGGCCGGATCACCAAGCCAGTGGTGTGCTGGTGCATTGGTACCTGTGCCACCATGTTCTCCTCAGAGGTATGTGCCAAAAGGGGGAAAACACATAGAATAAGGATAAATCCACAACAGGAGGAAAATCCCAAGTCTCACTGTGCCTAAACCTTTCAGAACTGTCAGTGGCAACTCCTCATGTGCAGAAGTTCACAAATATAAATGATAAAAAGTTTTTTGTGCTTCTGTGGTGTGTCACGGGAGATTTCCAGGGGATTCTGCTTACTTGTGAAGGGAGCCCAAAGATCCCGGGGAATGCAACAAATTCCAACAGCCACCTGCTTCTGGAGCGGGAATGGGAGCCTGTAGTCCTGACTGTTCTCCCTTCTCCTGTTTGTAGGTGCAGTTTGGCCATGCAGGAGCTTGTGCCAACCAGGCCTCCGAAACTGCTGTGGCAAAGAACAAGGCCTTGAAGGAAGCTGGGGTGTTTGTCCCCCGGAGTTTCGATGAGCTGGGAGAGGTCATTCAGTAAGTCACACTCACAGAGCACCTTCAGCAGAGACTAAAGCAGTCAGGGCAGTGATTCTGGCCTCACAGGGAATATATTCCTGCTTAAGGAAAGCAGTGTGGGGCTTTAAGGTCTGGGTTAGGACCCACTTCACTTGGATCTCTTGAAAGGACTGAATGGATTCTCTCCCTAGGTCTGTGTACCAGGACCTTGTGGCCAGAAAAGTGATCGAACCAGCTGAGGAAGTGCCTCCTCCAACTGTGCCAATGGATTACTCCTGGGCAAGGGTGAGCTTTTGGGTTCCTTGGAATCTGCTGGGATTCTGGGTGCCATGCTGGGGTTACACTCTTGTGCTTTAATAGTGTTACTTGTGAGCTCCCTGGCTGTGCTGGTTCTGAGCCGTGGAAGGTGCTGGGAGGGCAAGCCTGAGGTGTTGCTGTTTGCCTGCTCTGCTGGGCACTGCCCTTGCTGCTGGTGTGGGTGTTTAACATCCCATCTCCACGCTGCAATTCCAGGAGCTGGGACTGATTCGCAAGCCAGCGTCCTTCATGACCAGCATCTGTGACGAGCGAGGGCAGGAGCTGATCTATGCTGGGATGCCCATCACCGAGGTCTTCAAAGAGGAGATGGGAATCGGAGGGGTTCTGGGCCTGCTCTGGTTTCAGAGGAGGTGAGGCAGCTCCTGTGAAAGATCACATTCTCTGGAGTTTTCCTTGTTTTTTAATAGACTTCTAAGCAAAAAAGTAACTCCAGGATTCCCTTGTGGAGGCAGATTCACTGGAATGCCATCTCTGTAATCCCTCCTTGCAACCATGCTGGCATTTCAGGCTACATACACTACTATATTTTAGCCTAGGGATGGAGTTTTCCACAAGTTTTGTGGTGCATTGAGGAGATTTCTCTGTTCTAGGCCTGATTCACGCTCTCTGACTCTTTGTTTATTGTGTCACCTCAGCTCTGGAGAGACTGGGGACTTGACAAACATTTTCACTTGTGTTCTGTCCCCTGACTGACCCGGTGTCTGTGCCCAGGTTGCCCAGGTACGCCTGCCAGTTCATCGAGATGTGCCTGATGGTGACAGCAGACCACGGGCCGGCCGTGTCTGGGGCTCACAACACCATTGTCTGCGCCAGGGCTGGCAAAGATCTCGTCTCCAGCCTCACTTCAGGCCTTCTCACTATTGTGAGTACCCAAGATCCAGGAGGTTTAGCTTCTGCTGGTGTCTATTCACTCACACCTTGAGTTTCAACTCTAATAGTCCAGTGCTCCCTGTTTCAAACTGTGTCCATTTTTCCAGTAAGCCAGACTAGTTTGTCTCATTTGAGTTTAGAAGTATTTTGTAGCAGCCAAATGGCTGTCAGTGTTGTCCCTGTTTGGTTGCCTTGTTTTTTCCAAGACTGACAAGTAAAAATGTGACTGAAACAGACTTTTGGATCGCATTTTCCCCCACATCTGTCAGCAGAGATGTGTTGACTACATACTGGCACTTGTGTGAGTTAAAACCAGATGCTGTGCCTGCCCAACTTAAATGTCATGGGTGCCACAGAGACCAGGGTGGATGGGGGAGATAATCTTGTGTTTGTTTTGTACCTGAACTGTGGAGTCCTTTGCCGCAATTCCCTTTGTGTCCTGCACCCAGGGTGACCGGTTTGGGGGAGCCCTGGATGCTGCAGCCAAAATGTTCAGCAAAGCCTTTGACAGCGGGATTATCCCCATGGAGTTTGTGAATAAGATGAAGAAGGAAGGGAAGCTGATCATGGGCATTGGACACAGAGTCAAATCGGTAAGAAAACTGTCTTAGGGACAAACAGGAGGGATTTTTACACAAGGTGGGGGAGAGCAAAAACAAAGGAAAGCAAATTGGCAAGTTTGAGGCACCTGTTGACCGAGTTGTCCCCAGCCTACAACGAGTAAAGCTGACGTCAGGTACCTGTGTGGGAGGCAATGTCAGTGACTGTAACGTGCTCTGAACCTGCAGATAAACAACCCTGACATGAGAGTTCAGATTCTCAAGGACTACGTGAAGCAGCACTTCCCGGCCACTCCACTGCTGGACTACGCGCTTGAAGTAGAAAAAATCACAACTTCCAAGGTGAAAGGCGCCAGCAATGAACTGCTCTGAGGACTGGTTCTCTGGGGAGGGAAAGTGTTAACATCTTCACTGGGGTGTTTTCATTTCCTACAGAAACCAAACCTTATCCTGAACGTAGACGGCTTCATTGGAGTGGCCTTTGTTGATGTACTCAGGAATTGTGGCTCTTTCACACGGTGAGTAGGGAGGGGGCTGTTCTTGGATCCTGGTCCTATAAAGGGATGGGAGCTGCACTGCCAGCTCCTGGGGGGGGACAGGATTTCAGGACACTGAGAAGGAATCATAGCCTTAGCCTTGGGGGCAGAAAGCTGTCACATGAATTTGTGTGGCTTCTGGCACCAGAGCAGGTCCTCAGCCTGTCTGACATGGATTCCTTAAATAGATCACTACCAAGAACTATTTAATTTCCTTCCTTTTGCAGGGAAGAAGCAGATGAATATATTGATATAGGAGCTCTCAATGGCATCTTTGTACTGGGCAGGAGTATGGGATTCATTGGTGAGTTTGCCACTACCCCACCCCTTCCCACCTCCCGGGGCTGCCCCTTCCCAGGAACACCAGACAAACCTGAACTTCAGGGGGGACTCGGTGCACTCCAGAACTCCAAGTTTGAAGGCAAAGAGGAGAAGGAGGAGGGATGGGAATTCTGTAACATAAACCATTGTCATTTCAGGACACTACCTGGACCAGAAGAGATTGAAGCAGGGTCTGTACCGTCACCCGTGGGATGACATATCCTATGTCCTTCCGGAGCACATGACCATGTGAGAAGCTGGTGTTGCCCTGGAATGTCACTGCACGAGGACAGAAGCCTGTCCAGGGGACAGCCACGGTGGGACTGTGGACGTATAAAGCCCGCTGAGACAGAGATGTCGAGCTGCCTGGTCAAACTGTGCAAAGCGACTGTTTTATAAGAATAGAAACTTACTCTAATAAAACCAAAACTTGTGCTATTCCCTCTGTTACCTGCTGTATTTAATACTGTCTCTCACCATTTTAGTTTTTCTCCTCTCTCATTTCATTTTGTTTCCAGAAGAGATTAAGGGTTTTGGGGGGAGAGTTTGGCTCATGGGCACAGTCTTACTGGACATTACTCTGGTTACAAGCTGTACCTTTCCTGTGAAGGGGAATGTGCCCATCATTCCCATAAGCCAGGACTTGGGCTTTTTTTTTTTTTTTTTTTTTTTTTTTTTTTTTTTTTTTTTTTTTTTTTTTTTTTTTTTTTTTTTTTTTTTTTTTTTTTTTTTTTTTTTTTTTTTTTTTTTTTTTTTTTTTTTTTTTTTTTTTTTACTGTGTTCTCATCCTCGGTCTGATTGTACCTGAATCTTGGGACCACTGCTGATGTATAACCAATGTTACTCAAGCTCTGGTGTAGTAATTTAAACTGTAAAGTTGTAACATACTGCTGTGAAAACTGTGAAATCCCTGTACTCCGGTGTCTGTATTTATGCAAACAACTTCTTTCCTCTTGACTGTTGCTCTGTGCACTGTCACTCATGTTACCTGCAGCTGCAAAAAAAAGAATATCTCAGTTAATAACTTCAGCGTCCTCCTTGTCTGTGTATTGTAACCGAACTCAAATAAATACATGCTACTAATTTATTCCTTTTCCATTTGTGGCTTCTGAAAGTTCATCCTAAACATTGTCTGAGGGGTGTGACAAGCTGGGAATCAGTCACTTAACAAAACACCACTCATCAAAGTGGTTACTCCTTAGAGTCTGTGTTTCAGGTGATTTAAAATGCATACACATACCCTTGCAGTGTAGGTCAAAAAGGTGAAGTTCAGCAAATTAAAGAAGAAACAGAAGGAAAGAGACTAGTTATAATTGATACAGCACGATACGTGAGTTGGGGATCTGCACTGTGTGAAAAGCAAACATGAAATAATCAACTGCAGCTCACTTCATTCTGATTAACAAAAAGCCCCCCCGTAGCTTAGTTGGACTCTGAAATCCTTATTCCTCAGGTGAAGCCTCTTCCCCGCAGCCTGCCTGGGAGACCAAGAGTAAGGAGGAAAAAAAAAAGATCAGATGGCCCGATGTGGAACCAGGTGCGTGTCTGATCCGGGTACCGGATGCACCGGGGAGCACCCGGGAGCTCCCAGGGCGGAGAAGCACCGGGGGCGAGTTGGAGGGCAGGGCGGGCTCGGGACGGGGGTCCCTGGGGGGGTCCCTGAGGGTCCCTGAGGGTCCGTGGCGGTCCCGCCTCCCTCACGGCTCCGCCGCCGCCATTTCCCTGCAGCGCCGCCCTCTCCCCGCCAGGGGGCAGCGCCGCGCCCCGCCGGCCCGCTCGGACAAGATGGCGGCGGCCCCGCAGCCGCATCCCAGCCCCGGGCCGGGCCCGCCGGCGGCCGAGGCGGAGCGCGGGGGCCCGCGCGGTGGCGGGGCGGACGGGGAGGCCGAGGCGGAGGAGTTCGGGTGCCCGGCGCACTGCTCCGACCTGGCCTGGCGGCAGAACGAGCAGCGCCGCCAGGGCCTGTACTGCGACATCACGCTGGCGTTCGGCGGCGCGGGCGCGGCCCGCGAGTACCGGGCGCACCGGTCCGTCCTGGCCGCCGCCACCGAGTACTTCACGCCGCTGCTCTCGGGGGGCTTCGCGGAGTCGCGCTCGGGCCGCGTGGAGCTGCAGAAGTGGAGCTCGGAGGGCGGCCCCGACCCCGAGACGGTGGAGGCCGTTGTCGGTTTCATGTACACGGGCACCATCCGCGTGAGCCCCGGCAATGTCCACGAGGTGCTGGAGATGGCGGACAGGTGAGGGGGTCGGGGGCTGGAGCGGGGGGGATCGGCAGGTGAGGGGGCCGGGACCGGGGCTAGGTGTGCCGAGTCACACAGCATCAGTGGGTCACAGACCGGTTTGGGTTGGAAGGGACCTTAAAGCCCATCCATTCCCGCTCCCGGGGACACCTTCCACTAGACCAGATTGTTCCAAGCGCTGTCCAGCCTGGTCTTGAAGACTTAAGACTTGCAGGGATGTTTCTGTTCGTTTTTCCTGCAGGTTTCTGCTGACACGGTTAAAGGACTTCTGTGGAGAGTTTCTAAAGAAGAAACTGAACCTCTCTAATTGCGTGGCAGTTCACAGCTTGGCCCACATGTACTCCCTGAACCAGCTGGCCCTCAGAGCGCAGGATATGATCAGGAGAAACTTCCACAAAGTTATCCAAGATGAGGAGTTCTACACTCTGCCGTTTCACCTTGTCCGGGACTGGTTCTCGGACTCAGAGATCACGGTGGACTCTGAAGAGATCCTCTTTGAGACGGTTTTAAAGTGGGTTCAGAAAAATCCCGAGGAAAGAGAGAGGTACTTTGAAGATCTCTTTAAGCTGCTGAGGTTGTCTCAGATGAAACCCACGTACCTGACTCGCCACGTCAAATCCGAGCGGCTGGTGTCGAGCAACGAGGCCTGCGTGAAGTTGGTGTCCGAGGCCGTGGAGAGCCACGCCCTGCGCTCCGAGAACCTGCAGTCCGGGAACCTGCAGCATTCCGCCTGTCCCGCCGCGCTGCTGCCGCGCTTCGGCCAGAACATGGACGTCATCATCGTCATCGGCGGCGTGTCCGAGGGCGGCGACTACCTGAGCGAGTGCGTGGGCTACTTCATCGACGAGGACAGGTGGGTCAACCTGCCGCACATCCACAACCACCTGGACGGGCACGCCGTGGCCGTGACCGAGTCCTACGTGTACGTGGCTGGCTCCATGGAGCCGGGGTTTGCCAAGACTGTGGAGAGGTACAATCCCAACAGAAACATCTGGGAGCAGGTCTCGAATCTAATCACCAGGAAGCATTCCTTTGGCCTGACCGAGGTGAAGGGCAACTTGTACAGTATCGGCGGGCATGGCAACTTCAGCCCGGGCTTTAAAGATGTGGCCGTTTATAATCCCGAGCAGGACAAGTGGCAGAACCTGGAGTCGGCCCCGAAGATCCTGCGGGATGTCAAAGCTGTCTCCGTGGAGGACCGGTTTGTGTACGTGGCCGCCCGTACCCCAGTGGACAGCGACAGCGAGGACGGGCTGAGGGCCGTTATTACCAGATACGACACTGAAACCAGGCAGTGGCAGGACGTGGAGTCCCTGCCCCTCATCGACAACTACTGCTCCTTCCAGATGTCCGTCGCCAACACCAACTTCTACCACACGGCCTCGTGCTGCCCCAAGAGTTACCCCATCGACAACGAGGAGGCCAAGGGGAAGATCTCTGGCAGGGCCTCGGATGAAATCCTGGAATCCTTGCCCCCCGAGGTCCTGAGCATCGAAGGAGCGGCCATTTGTTACTACAAGGACGACGTGTTCATCATCGGGGGGTGGAAGAACAGCGACGACATCGACAAGCAGTACAGGAAGGAGGCCTATCGCTACTGCGCCGAGCGCAAGCGCTGGATGCTCCTGCCCCCGATGCCGCAGCCCCGCTGCAGAGCCACTGCCTGCCACGTGAGGATCCCCTTCAGGTGCCTGCAGGGAACACAGAGGTACCCCATGCCGCAGAACCTGATGTGGCAGAAGGATAGGATAAGGCAGATGCAGGAAAGGCAGATGCAGGGGATACACCGACACTCCCTGACCTTGCGGAGAATGCCGCGCTCCCAGATCGAGTGCTAGTGTCTGGAACACCACTCCTGAGGATGGGCCTAGGAAGTAAACCCTTTTGTTAGGCTTGGTATGTCTTTATAAGACATGAGGGCGTGGATTGGGTTTGATGCATAAAACCAGCATCTTTCGTGTACTGAAAAGTCAGAAGCTCAGAAGTTGAGGGTGGGTGGGAATTGAGACGCTCTGTGAATCCAGCAGTATTCCTTAATGGTGCCCAGGGAAAAGCTGTAGCCTGTATCGGGCTGTGAAATGTCTCTGGGTGCGTTAAGCCTGTTACTTCTCTCTTCAGATCTTTGGTTCCAAGGGTTTCTGTAGAGTTAGTCTCTAACAGTTCTACTTTGAAAATCAAAGATCTGTCTCTTAATAATTTAGTGGTTACATTTGTGTGTGCTTGAAAGCACCTATTTTATTTGCACTTATCTCTTGACATTCCTTTGATTCTCTCCTCAGTGACTAAATTTCACAGGATTGGTGTTGGCGTACTTGGCTTTCCCGAGCTGGAGGCAAGTGCAATAGTTCTGTATGAAACAAAAGCACAATCTTTCTTGATGAAATTACTTCAGGATGTTTCTATGTGTATTAAATATTTTGTATCTGTGCGTTGTGGAGAGGCTGCCCGGTTTGTTTATAAGTGGATGGTTGCTGGGACACAAGACGCTGAAAGAGAGAACTTGAGGCAGTGGATTTTATTTCAGGTGTATCTGCAGGTTTGAGTCTGTGACAGCTTTGTTAGAAACTCGGTTCAGCAGCCTGAGATGAGGAGTGACAACGAGTGTTGAACCACCCACCCACACTGGCTGTTTACTTCATCAGAGTGGAGCAGTGAGAATGGGATTATTCCATGGGAACAGAGTGAAACCTGAGCTATGCATAGGTCCTTTCTCAAACGCTGCACATGTTTTAATTCTAGTGAAAAGTGATGGAAGAGCCTCTGCTGTTCCCAGCCCGTCTCTGACAATCAGAACCCTTTGCCTTCCATGTGCTGTCCCAAGGAATTCCCAGCAGCCGTGCTGCAAGCTCCCTCCTCTGGCGGGGAGAGATGGGTTTTCAAAGTCTTCAAATACCTGAATTTCCCCACTTGATTGGGGTGTGAGATTTAAGCTCATGGAAACACCTTTTGGCATTCTGAGGTGATTTTACATCCAGCTGCCCTGGTTGGCTCTGGGTTTGTTCCCACTGTACTCCCAGGGAATAGAATGTGGAGTATTCCCTTCCATCTGTCCCACTGAGCACTCCGAGGAGCTCCAGGACCCTTTAGTTTACCAGCGGTTTCAGTGCATCCTTCCTACCTCCTTTTCTCTCCATCCTTCCCTTCTTTTGAATGTTCCAGGTTTTCCCAGCAGTGTAACTCAGGATCTTAGGGAAGGGAATGGGAGGAGTCAGTCATCTTGGTGTTCTGAAATCTGTGTAGGCAAACCCTGTTGGAGAATCTGTTACTGTTCCTGGTTCCTTGATGTTTGCTGGTGGTTTTGATGTGGGCATCTCCATTGCGAAGAACTTGTAACCATGTGGGGGTTTGTTTTGTTTTTAGTTGGTTTGCTTTCTGAGCTGCTCCTTCTCCTTTTCCAGTTCATCAGGCAGCCCAGATCGTATCTGAAACTTGGGGTAAGTCCTTCCACCACTCAGTGTGTAAAGGTTTCTCTGATGTGTATGTTCCTTAACACACCACTTTGCGGTTCACGGGCCACTTTGGTATCAATAACTTGCCTGTTCATGAGAGATTCTCCAGCCTTGGTTTAAAAAACCCACCAAACTTGAAAAGCTCTGAACGGTTTGTCTCAGTTGACCCCTCTGTGGTAACTGTGTCGTATTTTCTTTTTCTGTTGGGTTTTTGGGGCAGGTGAAGTTTATGCTGCTGGCCTCATGCGGGAGGAAATAGGTGAGTTTAAGGTGGTGTTTGCAGGTGACTGTTCCCAAACAGCTCCTGCAGGCCTGTAAGCCAGGAGTTGATCCGTGGAGTTTGGCCCGTGGATTCTTGCAGGTCTGGAGTAGGTTCAGAATCGCTGCCCCTGCAGGAGGTTTGTGACAGAGCGTGCAAATGCCTCACAGCTGGAGGGATTTAACAAGCAGTTGGAGGGTGGTAGTAGGTCACACCACCACAGCTCTATCCCAGCCCTCCCATAGCCTGTCACGGAATACAGACGATTTTTAGGGAGAAACGCCGAGATGATTATTTCAGTTGGAATAGCAACTCAATATTTAATGCATGGCAGTGATGCAACAAAAGAGGCAAGGACAGACCTTGCAGTCTTTGCTTTCTCCAAACAAAATTGATACTGCACTTTCCCAGGAGGACTCTGGGCTGGCAGACAAGCTGTGTTGTTTACTGAAAGCACTCCCCTCAGAGGCAGTGTCAGCCCAGCCCGTCCCTGGACAGGTAACCTGCGTGTGCCAGCCGCATGCCGCGTGTGCTCCGTGTGCATGGCACTGGGGGGGCCCTGGCAGCAGCATGGGCTGCTCTAACCTTTGCTCTGCCAGTTCTGGGGTAGTTTTTAAGCACTGGTGCTTTTTGGCCTTGACTTTCAGTGGACTGACGGCGTTGGTGTGGTTTGTGGCTGACGGGCTTGAACAATCCACTGCATCGCACCAGGTGTTGGGAGAATCGCATTCACAGCTCGGGCTGTAATTTAGCCCATGAACCTGTGAATCTGTAACAACTCCTTAAGGCCTTTGACTGCCACAGCTTGCTGGGTGTTTATCAGATGATCCCATAAACAGAAGCCTGGGGGTTCTTTCTGTGTGTTTGTAGTGGCTGGTCAGCTGCCAGCAGGGTGGCAGTGTGTGTGAACGAGGAGGCTGACTGCTGGCCTCGCTGCGCTGGCGGTCACCAGAGTGACTCCCAGGGGCCATACGTGTACAGAATGTTTTATAACTACCTGGATACTCTGCCAGTAGCCTGGGGGTGTCCGTGTCTTGAGTGCCTCCCTTGCACATAGTAGAGATCACTGCAGAGATGAAGCAAACAGCTTACACGTGCTGTGAACGGCTGTGCCGAGCATTCCACTCCACTACTGCAATGGCCTTTTATCCCATTACAGGAAATGTCAAAATCCAAACTCTTGGCTGAGGTCATGTGTTGTGGAATAGCCTGGTGGCTGCTGACAAACCAAGTCCTCAGGAATGACAACTTTTTAGGTTGTTCTTAACACAGCCTTGTAAGAGGATGTTGTAACGTCCCAATGGGTTTTGAAAAGCAGGCGTAAAGTAGGTGGTTTGTGGCTTGGGTTCATTTTCAGCTCTGTCCACCTTAGGTACAAACCATCTCTTCTGTTAGACAGTCCTGGGTGGAGTCTGATAAAACAGGTGCTCCTGAGGATCTAACTCTGTTACTAATATGAATGTATAGTGTGGAACTAACAAGCTCTTTGAAGACCATTACTAGGCAGATCCCCCTCGTGGGTCTGTGTCACTGTGGGTCACGGCAGCTCTGCTCTCCTGGGACATAAACGGAGGGGCAACAGATTTCTGGGGAGCAGCACTCCTGTCCTTACCTGTGAGGTAAAGTAGTGTGTGTGTGTGATAGGCCCTTTGAAACAAATCCTGCTTGTCATGTTCTTGACCTTAAATACACTGTACTAAAGTTTATTGTAAGAGGTGAATTAATGAAAATAAACCTTTTATTTCTCTAGCATTCTGTTGTACTTCTGATTTTTTAAGTTGCTGTACAGGCTGTGGGTGATAACACATGTTTTGTGGTGCCATAGAGTGAAAGCTTTAAATCCTAATGATTCTTTTGGCCTGTAGCCGTTGTTTCTATTTTGGAACAAGAGAACATGCTCCCCTTCCCACACTGGAGATTTTATTAGCTAAAAGAGAACTATTTACACAGGCATCCATTGGTGGGGATGCTCAGAAGACTTTTATTAGCTAAGCAGGACTATTTACAGGAGCATCCAGTGATGGCCAATCACGAGACTTAGCTAAGGGGAACTATTTACAACGGCGAGCTCCGAGTCGAAGTGCTGAACAAGATGTCCATGGAGGTGTTGTGCCGGTAGTAGTGCTGCCTGGCGATGTACTCCATGACGTTGGAGAGCCCTGGCACCACGCAGCAGCTGACGGCGCTGCGGGTGATGCCCATGCTGTGGGCGTCGTACCACTCGTTGGTGTCCTCCTCGTAGCACTCGGCAGCCACGGTGGTGCTGAACCCGTTAAAGCCCCCGACCACGAACAGCAGCCCGTCCATCACCTCGATGCCGAAGTTGCTGCGTGGGTTTAGCATGGAGGGCACGGCGTGCCAGGCGTTGGCGACGGGGTTATACGCTTCCACGCTCTGGAGCCGGCTGTTCCCATCAAACCCTCCGACCTGCGAATGCCAAAGGGACAGAGCTGAAAGGGGGCCTTCCCCTCAGGCAGATCCTGTCACGCACCAGTGAGATGGGAGCTGCTCCTGCCTCCCTGGCGGTGGTCTGAGCATGGCGGAGAGCACAGGATTTCAGGACACAGCACTTGCTTATTGCAGTCTGTTCCCTCGGGAGCTTCCCAGGGCACTTTGTGCAACTGTCAGATTTGACAGTTCTCCAGGGGGTGGATGCAGTCCAAGGAGAAGATAAACAATGAATGAACAGGCCCGAGCCCTGCTCTGTGCTGCTGATGCTGTTGGCAGTGGCAGAAAATAATTTGTTTGCTGCAGCTGCTTTAAACATTGCCCGCATCTTTTTTCTTACCAAAAAAGCGTGTGATGGGTGATAACGTTCTTGGCAAGTCCGTCACCTGTTCTGGCTCTGACTTCCCCAAACCTCACATAAACACAGGGCCAGCCTGGTGTGGGAGCTGCGGGGCTGGGTGGTGTTGGCCCTTACCGCGTACACCTGGTTCCCGTACGCCATCACCCCAACCCCGCTCCTCCTGCTGCTCATCGGGGCGATCAGGGACCACTGGTTTGTGGCGGGGTCGAACACTTCAGCTGAGCTCAGGCACTGATCGCCATCAAACCCACCACAGATGTACACCTGGGGACAGGAGAGAGAGGAAAGTGTGAGGGGGACATTTAGAGAGAAAAATCTGTTGGAGAGAAAACGAATGGTGTGGCTGGATTTTTGGCGTGTCTTTGTTTTAGGAGGGGAATGAGAACGTCATCCTGGCTTTGGAGTAGCAGCACTGCAGGGAGTTGAAGCCAGCAGGATTTAGATCCTTAATTTCCCAAGCTGCATGAAGCAGACAGGCCTGGTACTGCATCTTTGGCCAGGAAAAGGGCTGCCGGGCACCGGGTGGGCTGTTGGGAGGCAGCAGCTCCAGAAGAGTCTTCACACTCCTGGTCACATCTCTGCCACAGCAGGTAGGTGCTGTTGCATATCTGTACCTCCAGGATTTAATGCACTGTTTCAAATTCAGTGAAGGTTGATGTGAGCTATCCTCACGTTGCAACTCTCCACCCTCCCCCAGCCCCGTTTACCTTTCCGTTCAGCGTGGTGGCGTTGGCGTCGCTCCTCTGCTCGTGCATGGGGGCGATCAGGGTCCACTGGTTGGTGTCCGGGTCGTAGCGCTCCGCCGTGTTGAGCCGGATGTACCCGTCAAACCCTCCCATGGCGTAGATGAAGTTGTCCACGACGGTGACGCTGACGTAGCAGCGCCGCGAGTGCATGGGTGCCACCTGCTGCCACGTCTTCTGGAGCGGGTCGAACCGCTTGACGATGTTGAAATAGTCTGTGCCATCGAACCCGCCGATGACGTAGACGTGGCCCTTCAGATACGCCGAACCGTGGTAGGCGACGGGGCTCTCTTGCTCCCAGGGGATGTTCAGCCACTTGTCGGTGCGGCCGTCGTAGGTCTCGATGGCGCTGGTGGCGCCGCCCCCGCTCCAGCCCCCGATGGCAAAGAGGATGGCGTAGGGCAGGCGCGGCCGGGTGAGTGGGTTGGCGTTGGCCGAGGAGCTCTGGCCGTACGAGTTCAGGTCGTAGATTTCCGACAGGGCACTGATGATGAGATCTTTGCACTCGGCGTTGTCCTTCACGTACTCGTGAGCTTTGACGTTGTTCATGAAGTAGTCGGACTGTAGGAGTGCCAGTCGAACCTGGAACATGCAAGGAGGAGGTTAGAACGCTGAACGCTGGTGGTTTCCCCCTCGGCAGCCTTTTGGGGACAGCTCCAAAGCTGTGCTGCACCCACCTTGCCCAGCAAGCAGGCGATGTAGTGCCTCCTGCTCTGCGGATCGTGAGCGATCCACCTCAGCACAGCCTCGAACACGGCTTCTTCTCGCTTCACGTTGAGCTCGTCCTTCTCGATGATGTGTGCCAGCTCCTCAGCAGAGAGGTCTAGGAACTCCTCAGACACCTGGGACACCTCCTCGAAGTGATGCAGGATGTACACGCAGGCGGCTGCGCGCAGGTCGGGGCAGTGGTAGTAGTCGGTGAGCCTGCAGATGCCAATGCAGTTCTCAAAGCACAGCCTGGAACTGAGGAACTCGCAGCACAGGTTGACGATGCCCATGACATTGAACTGGTCTGCTGCAGCCAGCAAATTCTCAACGTTGTCCTCCGTGATCGGTACTGTCCCGGTGTAGGCGTAATTGATGATGAGACCCATCATTTCAGCTGAAACACCAGGGATTTGATAGACCATCTTGTCTGCGCTGTCCCAGTTGGTGAACAGAGTCCTGAAAACACGGCATTGCTGCATTAAATCCTGTCCCTGGGTCCCCTATGTTTCCTGAACTCCCAGGGCACCAGTTTAGGCACTGGCAGGAGCCCTGCTGGGAGGCCCGGTGGTTTATTAATTAATGTTTTACTTGCTTGTTGTTTGAAAAAGGAGATACAGCCTCTGGCTGGGGACAGGGAGCACCAGGGCGAGCTGCCTCCATGCTTTCACAGGAATCATAAAATCACAAAATGGCCTGGGTTGGAGGGGACCTTAAAGATTATCCCATTCTAACCCCCTGCCATGGGTAGGGACACCTTCCACTAGCCCAGGTTGCTCCAAGCCCCATCCAACCTGGCCTTGGACACTTCCAGGGATGGGGCAGCCACGGCTTCTGTGGGCAACCTGTCCTAGGGCCTCACCACCCTTACAGGGAGGAATTTTTTTCCAAATATCTAATATAAACCTCTGTCAGTGTGAGGCCATTCCCCCTTGTCCTGTCACTCCAGGCCCTTGTAAATAAATCCTTGTGTTTCCATTACTACCTGAAGTAGACACTGCAACAAGAGAGGATGAGCTTGTGAGCCTTGAATTCCACCCCATCCACGCTTATGATCACATCACAGAATCTCCCTTCCAGGCGGAGCTCGTTGGAGATGCTGCAATTCCTTTCGCTCATCTTCCTCTCCATGCTGGAGGATGACTGTCTGGTGGGTGCTGAGCTATCCCCCACGTTGGAGTCAGAGGCAGTGGACCTCGCTGACGCGCGTGGAGCACTCTGGTGTTGCCCGCAAACATCCAGCGCTGAAGCCACTCGCTGGCTCTGGATTGTGCCCCGTGATGATGTCACAACCACAGGGGTGACCCAGGCCTAACATTCCCTGGTTGCCCCCAGCCTTCACTTCCCCTCAGCCCAGGTTATCCCGGACCCCTGGTCTGCACCATGTTTGATGGTTGCTTGGAGCAAAACCGTCTGTGTGATCCCCCCGCATAATAACAATAATAAATAATAATAAATATTATTTTCCCAGAGTGTTAAAGTTCCCAAAGGTGGGCACCGACTGCTGCTGAAGTGCCTTGTGCCACCTCACCCCGGAGGTGGTGACAGAGCCCAACTCCTGTCAGTGCTGAAGTCACACACGCGCTGTCCCTGACTTGTCACTCAAGTTGTGCCAGGGGAGCTTTAGGTTGGATATTGGGAAACTTTTTTTTCCCCAAAAGGGCTGTCCACCCCTGGCACAGCTGCCCAGCAAAGCAGTGGTGGCGTCCTCATCCCTGTAGGGTTTTAAAGCCGTGTGGCTCTTGGGGACACGGCTTAGTGGGTGGCTTTGGCAGTCCTGGGGGACGGTTCTCTGCGGGAATTTCCCGCATAGGGAGGGTTCCGCGACCCCGTGTCCCCGGCGCTGCGGAGCGATCCAGTGCCGGGCAGCCCGCGGGCACGAACGGCCACGCCGGCGGCTTTTTTTATTGGAATCTTCCCTTTCTGTTTCGCCTTCCCCGCTCGTCGCGGTAGAAACGAAACCGCCGGTCCCGCCCCGCGCTGCTGCGGGCCCCGGGCGGGGGCGCAGCCGGAGCGCTGGGGTCCCCCCCGCCCCACCGCCCCAGAGCACCCCGTGAGCACCCCCCGAGCCCGAACACCCCCCGAGCCCCAACACCCCCCAAACATCCCCCAAACACCCCCCAGTCCCGAGCACCGCCGGGCCCCGCGGCCGCGTTCCGGTCCCGCCCCAACCCCCGGCCCCTCCCAGCGGCTGCGCGGCCCGGCCCGGCCCGGCGGCAGCGGAGCGGGAGCCGGAGCGATGGTGAGCGGGCACCGCGGCCCGGGAGCCCGGGCTGGGGCAGCGGCGGCCCCGGGGCTGGGCGGGGGGAAGGTCTCGGTGCCCCCAGGGCGGCACCGAGCGGGGTTCTCTGCTCCGCCCGCAGGTGCCCGAGCTGGAGAAAGCCACGGTCCGGATCCTGCAGCCCGAGCGTGTGCGGGGCATCATCCGGTCCCTCCGGGAGCAGGGGGCGGACAAGCTGCAGCTACTGGCCCCGGCGGGGCTCGGTCCGTGTCTCAGCTGCCCCTTCCTCACCCTCCCAGCCCCGCCAGGAAGCAGCTGCGGCGCGGTGTGCAGGCGGAGGGGGGAGAAGCCCCGGAGGAGAGGGAGGACGGGGCTGGTGGCTCTCCCCGGACGGTTCTTTTGGCTTCCCGTTATGAAGCCATAACCGTGCGCCAGTCCCCGAACCCCTCCTCCGCCCAGGCTGGAGGGAGCCATTCGCTGCTGCTGATAGCTCCGGGGTGGGAGGGTGAGGACACCGTCTGCCCCTGTCGCTGCCGGTGTGCGCCCTGGCGGCACCTTGGGTTCGCTCTGGCTGGGGCAGAGTGCGCTGGGGCACACACAGATGGGGTTTTCCCCCCTCTTCCAGGTCGTTTCTGACTTTGACATGACGCTGAGCAGGTTTGGGTGCAACGGCAGGCGCTGCCCCACATCGTACAGTGAGTGGAAGCTGCTGTTTTTACTGTCACTTAATCCTGTTTGGTTCCTGCATCTGTGTTTTCCATCACTGTGGTTCCTGCCATCCTCTGTCCCCTCCTCTGGCAAACCTGACCGCTCCGTCCTGTCCTCCCTCATGCATCTCTGGGCCTCGCTGCCTGGTCCTGGTCACCCACCCCCCATTTCAGGAGCTGTGTCCTGGGCTGTCCATCTCCATCCCACTCTTCTGGCAGAGCCAGGCCCTGCACTCGGCAGCTGTTGGGACTCCTCATTTTGGGAGGAGACGGCACTGAGATGCAGGACAGCTGCTGTTAGAGAGTCTTTTAATATCTCTGTGCCACTGTTGTTGTACTGTCCTTGCAGATATCCTCGAAACCAGCCGTGCTGTCAGCGAGGATGGCAGGAAGAAGGTGGGTGCTGTGTGTAGGACACACTGTCACCCGTCTGTGAGAGGTCACACTGGCAGGCGTGGCAGCTCTCCTGGCTGTGCTGGCTGCCAGGCTGGAGGGGGAAGTGCCCAGGCTGAATTTCAGCCATCAGAGACAGAGGAGAAGTTCAAAAGGGAAATTCAATTTGCATGTACAGCTGTGGGTGTCTCAGCTCCAAAAGAGGAGGAAGGGGAGGGGTGTCTGGACCTGCAGTGGGATGAGGGTCAGCCAGGCTGCCAAGACCTCCAGGTGTGCTCGGAGGGAGGCTGTTCAGTGACACAGTTTGGTTGTGTTTAGGAAGTGTGATGCTTTGGAGGACTTCAGAAATGCTGGTTTTGTTGCTTACAGTCTGTTTAGACCTGATGTTCACTCTGTTCTTGTTTTCCCTCTGAATGACGCTCCAGCTGAAGGATCTGCTGCACTATTACTATCCCATTGAAATTGATCCCAACCGGACCCAGGAAGAGAAATGTCCCCTCATGATAGAGTGGTGAGTGCTGTGTGTGATGATCTTGACCTTGTCCTGACAACCTCTCATCCCTAAGGGCTGCAGGACACAAGGCTTGAGCTGTCCCTGGGCTTTTTGGCCATCCCAGGGGATTTAGTTGTGCTTCTTACTGCCAAGGCCCTCTGCCCCAGAGCTCACTGCTGCCTTTCCCCAGGTGGACCAGGGCCCACGAGCTGCTGGTGCAGCAGAAGATCCGCAAAGATGACATAGCCCAGGTCGTCAGAGAGTCGGAAGCGATGCTGAGGTACAGACATGGGGCTTGGCTGCCCTCGGCCCTTCCCTCCTGCCTGTGCAGCCAGGTCTCTCTGCTGTCTCCACACTCTGCTACCTCCCTCTCTCCCTCCCTGGGGCTGAGCTCTAGCCAAGTCAGAGCCATGAGCTGCGCCCTGAGCTCACTCCCTGGCTGCAGGTTGCTCCGTTCAAGCTAAGAAACTGCTTCCCCCTCCCTTGGGGGCCTTGGCGAGGAGCAGCCAAGGGGCCAGCACTGGGCATGGCTCTCCCATGTGCAGGGTGGGATGCAGGGGCAGCTCCTCGCCTTCAGCAGAGATTTTTTTTCTCTGCACTGGAACAGCTGGGCCTTATCCAGGCCCTTGGCTCACCAGCGCATTTCACCCACAGCACAAAAACTTCACACTAGAATTTGCTGCTGTGGCCCTAAGGCTGGCTCAGGGAGCTGGGTTTTTGACCGGGCTCCCAGGCTCAGGGAGGAGATGGCACCGTGTGTCTGGGTTTTCATGAGCCCGAGTTCCCCTTCTGCGTGGAACTGCGTGCCGGCAGACTGAGGCTGTCACAGGTTGGCCTGGTCGTCCTCCCAGCCACTCTGACCTGTTGCACATCTCCCACGTGGTTCCTGGCAGTGCCCTGTGCCCCCGCTGAGCAGGGGGTGTGATCAGGAGGTGCTGGGCAAAGGGCTGGAGCGCTCCGTGTTTCCATGAGCACCTGCCTGACCGCTGCGCCCAGGGCCCTCCGGGGTTCTGCACGGGGAAAGCCACAGGAATGCTGGTGCCACGGGGAGCTCGTGCTGTTTGCAGAGCTCACCTGCGTGTTCCTGTTTGGGAAGTGCTGGGCAGAAGCGGGAGCTGAGCCCGCAACACCGGGCACCGTGCTGGGAGCTGGTAACACAGCCCCTTTTCAATGGAACACCCCTGCTCTAGGGATGGCTACAAGGAATTCTTTGACCGGCTGCACAAGAACAGTGTCCCCCTGTTCATCTTCTCTGCTGGCGTCGGTGACGTCCTCGAGGAGATTATCCGCCAGGCCAGCGTCTTCTACTCCAACGTCAACGTGGTGTCCAACTACATGGAATTTGATGATGACGTGAGTTTCTGCACCACGCTGGTGTGGTGAGGGGAGAGGTGTGGGCTGGGCCTGAAGGCTGGGACACAATCAACAGCTCCACTGGCAGGTTAAGAGCTGTCTGTCTGTCCTGTGTGCTCAGGGAGTCCTCACGCGCTTCAAGGGACCCCTCATCCACACCTGCAACAAGAACAACACCGTGCTGCAGGGCACGGAGTACTTCCAGCAGCTGAGCACGAGGACGAACATCATCCTGCTCGGGGACTCCATGGGCGACCTGACGATGGCAGACGGCATTCCCAGAGTGGAGAACATCCTCAAGATTGGCTTTCTCAATGACAAGGTGGGTGTGAGGAGCGGTGCTGTGTTTCCCTGCCAGCCTTCCCCAGGTGCCAAGCTTTGGGGCATCAGGGAGGGGCAGTGATGTGGAGGGGGGGAGTACTGAGCTCCTGCTGCGCCTGGGGCATTGTCAGTGTGGTTATTGATCCCCTTTCCTGTACAGGGGGCTGTGGGTGCAGTATCTCCACCCTCAGCTGTTGGTGTTCACAGTCTTCTCCCCCTCCCCACCCTGTCCTGTGCTGTAGGTGGAGGAGCGGAGGGGGAAGTACCTGGAAGCCTATGACATCGTGCTGGAGAGTGACGAGACGCTGGACGTGGCCAACGGGATTCTCCGGTACATCCTTACTGAGACATGAGCTGGGAAGAGGCGTCCCAGCTCCGGCCCCACAGCAGGCACTGGGCAGGGAACATCCTGGGACACAGCTGGAGGGGATCTGCTGGTACTGGCTGGGCTCCATCCTGACCTCACTAATGCCCTCGGCCCTGGAGCGGGAGAAATGAGATGGAGGAATCTTCTCCATTCCCTTTACCCCAACTGCCTGGCTCTGCTGCATCCCTCTTGGACTGACTTCATCCCACTTGGACTTCATTCTACTAGGAATTCATACTCTCTACCTCCCAAGGCCACAACAAACCGTCCCGTGTT